AACGCCGCTAACTGCTAATGTAGCTGCCGTCAGCCAAACCAAACAACCTCCGAGACAGACAGAGGACAGTTTGAGGTGATTTATGGAGTTTCCAGATGGACTCATTGCTAAAAGAAACTAACTGTCGCCAACAGTAATGTTAAATGCCGTTAGCTAGTTAGCTCGTGCAGCTAACATTAACCCCAACGTGGCAGGATTCAAAATAACACCTCAGTACTTTATTCCCTGTTGTCAAACTGTCCTCTGTCGGTATCAGACGCTGCTTTCAGTCCCCGTGTAAAGGACAGCTTGAACTCAGATGCGTCCAGAATGTTAGGCGACTTCCTTTATTTCCAGTGTTTACTGTACAGTGAGAGTAAAAATAACACATAAACAAAAAATCACAAAGGAAAACAAAGTCAATTTCATTTTTTATTCATATACAAACAGTGCATATCTGAAAATACATTTGATTGAGTGCTTGTGGAGTGAACAGATGTATTTTCAGGTGGCTTTAACAAAAAAAAACCATCCTTGTTGACTTCTGAAGTGTTTGATTCAGCCTCGACTGCAGCGCCTGCAGCCTGAAGCTCACAGCTGGATGTGGACACACAGAGAGGCTGCTGGGAAAGAACAAACAAAGACAGGATGGTCAGAGCAGAAAGGACGGTGTGAAACAGAGGGGAGCAGACACATATACAGGTCCGAGCCTGTATTTATCAAACACCTCAGAATAACTCCCAGAAAACGCACTCAAAGTTAAAAATACCGCTACATCCGAGTCCAGATATTTATGGATCATGCTACACCAGCTCTCAGTGGGGAGTACAGGTTCTCATTTTAGAGGAACTGGTGTTACTGTTTCACAAACCCTCAGAACCAGAGAATGAATGACTCTCACATTTCCTGATAACGTGCTGTCCTGTATTGACAAGAAAACTCCTATTTTAGAAAGTGTGGGAACTCATTCATTCAGCTTCTTAACGTTAAAAGTCACTTCCAATCAGAAAACAAAGGACAGCAGAGAAAGCTCCAAAGGGTTTAAAGACCAGAGTTTTCTAGCTGACAGTATCTGCAGTCAGGTGAGGAAGGACCAGAATGCACCAGGTGTGCGCTCGCACCCTGATTGGCCGAGAGGAGAACATACCAGCTTGCTCTCAATCATTGTTTAGGAGTTGGTCCTCACAAGCAACAGGTGATCTGAATAATCCTCCAATCAGCCCAGAGGAACTTTCACATTCAGCCAAAACGAACTGAGGTTCTAAGAGCTGTTCAGATGTTTCAGTTCGGACCAAAGTGGTTATGGTTGCACCTAATGGCTAATGCATAAATAACAAAGTGAAAAATGTTGTAAATGTCTGCTGTATAATAAATAGTGGACGAAGCCACCGTGACGTCACCCACTGGTCTGTGAAGATTGAGGCCATACACTCATTAGGAAATTGTTCACTGAGATAATAAATCAATGAAAAGTAGTAGTATGTTTTCATAAAGTTAAATACTATAAGACTTCTTTTTGCAACCAGTGGAGTCGCCCCCTGCTGGCCATTAGAAAGAATGCAGGTTTAAGGCATTTTCAGTCCCGGAAGCTCCGTCCACTTATTATACTGCACTTTCAGCTCACTGCCTATTATTGTTATAAATAAAGATCCTCACCTCATCTGGTTTAGTCAATCTCTTTTTTCAGGTATCTCTTCATGACTGAAGCCACGTCTCCCCCCTCACTGCCCTCCGCCTCCAGTCTTTCTCCCTGCGGCCTGTCAAACCTGCGTCTAGGCCCGCCGCCCTGGGAACTTCCTCCTGATCCACCTGAGCTGGAGGACTCGGTTTCAGAGCCCTTCCTGCTGCGGGAGGACGGAGGCAGCTCTCCAAAGTGGACACTCAGCGCCCTCCTGCCTCCTCGGACCGAGCCGGCCAGGCTGCTGGTAGACTGAGCTCTCCGGATGGCGGGCAGGACGTCGGAGGCTGCGTCGTTATCCCCAGTCAGGCGGCGGTTTTGGAAGACCATAGGTTCTGAACCCAGAGAGACTTCACCTCCGTCCTCTGTGACCAGACTCCCCAGCATGCACCGCCTCGGTGCCTGAGGGGAGCGCTGTATGGGAGTCGCCGTGGAGCGGAAGGGTTGCTCTGGGTCCTCCTCTGGGATGGACAGGGAGGGAGGGCGATGGCGAGCAGCGAGGGAGGACGCCAAGGAGGAGAGGCGTGGCAGTGAGGGGAGCGAAGAGACGGAATCACTCGAGTTGAAGCGGGAGAGTTTGGTGTCAGCAGACGTCTGAGCGTCAGCGACGGAGCGAGCACTGGCGGCGCGAGGCATGAGCGGGGAGGACGGTTTTAGGATGCTGGGGCCAGGTCGGGGCTCCTGGGCGTCTTCTGGGCCGAGAGAGAGGGCCGAGGCTCTTCGCCTGAGAGTTGAGGCTGCGGTTGTTTGATAAATCGGCAGGGAGACGGCGCTACCGGCTCCGTCTCCTGCTTCGCCACCGGCTCTACGTTTACGAAGTCCTTCCAGCAGCTCGGACAGAGCCGAGGAGGATGGGGCTCGACCGGGACCTCTGGTACCTCCAGCCTCAGAGCCCTCGTCATCAGGGTCCACGCAAGAACTTCAGAGGGATAAAAAAGGATATGTAATCAATACATGTATTGTTTATTGTTTAGCCAGGAATCAGAAGCAGGTTTATAGTCAAATAAGTCAAGAATCATAAATATAAAATAGAGATTTACAATGAAAAATATGTAAAATATATCTGTTTTAAAATTAAAAGACCAACAGTTGTAAACCTTTAGATATTCAACTGTCATATATGACAAAGAAAAACAGCTAATTCCCAGATTTCAGAAGCGAGAACCAGATCATTTTTGCCTTTTCTGTTTAAAAAATGATTAAAACAATGAAAAAAAAATCAAAATAGTTGCCGATTTATGTTCTATTGATCGAGTAATTGATGAATTATTACAGCTCTACGTACATCTGTGAATGCACCGTAGTATCTGGCTTACCGGAAGCTGTAGGTGCTCATGGTGTCAGCCACAGACTGGCGCCCCCCTTGGCTGCTGATGGTACTGCTGCCATATGGAGAGCCGCCACCACGGGACCCTCCTCTGGGAACTCCTAACCAATGACGAATCCCCTCTCCAACATCCTCCGTCCCGATCGAACCGACACTGGACACCGAGTCGCTGCGGAGCGAGAGCACACTTTATCACAACGTTACGGACAGAACGGAGACGTCTCGCCTCTGCTGGTCAATAAATACGCACTGTTAGCTGCAATGAGCATGCGAGCACATCAAGACTGCAGCTCAGCAAACAGCCAATGATTCCACTGCAAGCCAGGGTTTCATTACAGTCAGTGTATGAGCTGATCTTTTCTTTTCAGAAACAGGTATTAAAATACAAAAACTGAAACTGAAACACAAGTAGGGCATCACAGGAATTTGGTAGTCGACACCAATACCAGTTTAATTCTACGATTCTGCAGAAAAACAAGTAACGCAGCGATTTTCTCTGAGCCCTTATGAGTCTGATACGGCAAACTCAGTCAGTCTGAACAACACTTACCAAAACTGCCGAACATTGCGTGACTACGTCGTACTGTACACATAAAATATGGTCTTAGAAATAGAACAATTTAAATCAAACCATTTAAATTTCGCTCGTCCATTTTGGCCATGAATAAGAAAAACACTTTGCAATCTTTACCTTGATCCCACACTGAC